TGAAGCCCAAATCACTCCATATCACTTATCTAGTAGAGTAAAGGACTTAATGGATTAAGTCCTTAATGGGTTAAGTAAGAAACACTTAACCCTAATTATCATTTTATGTGAAACCCAAATTTCACTTGGGCTTTGTGTTGGGCCATCCAAGAATAATCAAATGGACTAGAGAAATTAGTTGGGCTTTAGGGTAAGGCCCATATGAAGGATTGGGCCCAATTTGGAAAATTGGGCCATTGATGGGCCATAGTTTGGGCCTAAATGGTTGTATGATATTGGGCCCTTAGAAAGAGACATGTTGGACTGGACTGAACAATTGGGCCTTAAGGGAAGTCCATGTAGAGGTTTGGGCCAAATTTGGAAAGTTGGGCCATATGTTGGGCTTTGATCCCTAGTTGACTTTGGGCCTATGGATTGGGCCTTGGGCTTGGGTAAGCCAAGCTAGGGGTAATGTAGTAATTATCCAAAGTATGCATTTATAGTTATGTGTTAGAACCCAATTATTAATTGGGTGTTATTTTGGTGTTGACAGTTCGGGAATCTGTCATCCAGCAGCTGGGGTTGAGTCTGCGGGACTTCAGCAGTATGGGATTGTGTCTACGGGACTTCAGCAGTGTGAGGTGAGTTTCCTTCCAGTAGGAACGGGTCTACGGCCACAATGCCGGCCCGTTTAGTTAGCAGTAGTTCCGGACTTCGGTCCGATGCAGTAGTTCAGTGTGCTTGATGTCTTTGTGATTCAAGCATGTCCTTGTGTTATGTGTTCTGGACTTCGGTCTGATGTAGTATGCAGTATATGTGTTTATGCTAGTAGTTATGATTATGCTATGCTATGTTCAGTCAGTTCCGGACTTCGGTCCGGTGCAGAGGGCAAGGCCCTGGTTAGTTCCGGACTTCGGTCCGATGCAGTTTCCGGACCTCGGTCCGATGCAGAGGGCAAGGCCCTGGTTAGTTTTGGACTTCGGTCCGATGCAGTTTCCGGACTTCGGTCCGATGCAGTGGGCGAGGCCCTAGTTAGTTCCAGATTTCGGTCCGTTGAAGTGGGCAAGGCCCTAGTCAGTTCCGGACTTCGGTCCGATGCAGTGGGTAAGGCCCAGTATGTGCTTTATATGTTATTGTATGGTATATGGTAGTTTGGGGAGACTCACTAAGCTTTGTGCTTACAGTTTTCAGTTTTGGTTTCAGGTACTCAGTTTTCAAAAGAGGAGCTCGGGACGATTGCAGTGCACACACCATTTGTTCAGCCTGGGATGTTTATACTCTGATATACATGACAGTTGTTATATTATTCTGAGATACATTGTTGTGATTTTTCTATGACGTATGATGACTATGGTTTATTACTGATTTAAAACGAAATTTTCAGACTGTATTTTTGGGATGTTACACATTCAGTCCTTATAACCGGTTACTTCAGTTTAAGTTGTAAAAATGACTTAATAGGGTAATATAATTTTCAGTTTGTACACATTTAGTACATATGACCTGTTTCTTCTGATTTTTCTCACGAAATCCTACGTGGGATAATCATTAATGATGTGTTCTCATACGTGTCTCGTCCTTCACTTATGTCGGTAACCTAATTCACGAATCGGTTAAATAATGTTTTCCCCTAGTTTTCTCCAAGCTGAAGATGTCTTCAACTTCGTTTTTATCTATCTCCATTGTAGACAACGAGATTCTTTATGATTACTTCCTTCCGACTCGAATTTTCACTTACAAGACAAAAGAATTAAGGAAGACGCTAAAAGAATTTGCATTTCCAAGACAAAAAATACCCTGACAAAAAAGTTTCATATATCTCCATAACGAGATTCGTTTTGATTGCTTCCTTCCAACTCGAATTTGCATTTCTAAGACAAAGAATCTTGTTATCTACTATGGAGATAGATGGAACCGAAGTTGAAGACATCTCTTGCTTAGAGAAAACTAAGGCACCAACATTATTTGACATATTCGTGAATTAGGTTACTGATATAAGTAAGGGACGAGGCACGTATGAGAACACATCATTAATGATTGTTCCACTTAAGATGTCGTGAACAAAATCTGAAGAAACCGGTCATAAGGACTTAGGGGTGACAAAAAACTCCATACCCAGTGGGGAACCCGAAACTCGCATCCGGTTTGACCAGGGAATCCCCAAGTTGATTGGGCATGGGGGCGGGGATGGGAAATCCCCAAATAAAAAAACGGGGATAGGGAAGGGGATACCCCTAGTCCCCCGACCCCGATAGATATTAATATATAAAAATAATACACAACATATCAAATATCACTCTAATAAATTTTTTCTACGTGATTTTCCATGTATGTATTTAAATTTGGTATAATCTTTAAACTTATGTTAGTAATACTAAAAGTTAGAGTTTTTCTTTACGTAAAATTTTCATATTAAAAAAAGAAAAAGAAATCTCTGATTCCCCGCTGTTGGGGGTAAGAATGGTTATTCATTTATATTCCCCGATGAGGATGCTTGGACTCGAGGATGGGTATGGGCCTATGGGGATTGGGGTCCCCAGTATTCCTCAGATTCATTGTCATCTCTATAAGGACTAAATGTATACAAAAATATTAAGGACTAATTATGTACAAATTGAAAATTATATTACCCTATCGAGTCCTTTTTATGGCTTAACTGGGAGTAGCCGGTTATAAAAACTAAATATGAACAAAAAAACAAGTTAAATGATCATATATGAGCCAAAAAATAATCAATGACTAAATATCTACAAAATAAAAAATAGGGAAGTCTCCAATAAAGTTCCAAAATTTTGGTCTAGTTTACGTTTTACTCCTAAATTAATTTTTTTTTTTTACGAAAAAATCCTAAAAACCGGCAAAAGTCTGCATTTGACCCTTTTTGAAACCGGTAACAAATTAATTTATGACTATTTCCTAAACTGACCCAAAATATTTGGACTTTTCTACAAATAAAAATTATGATTTTTCTACAAATAAAACATTATTATTATTATTATTATTATTATTATTATTTTATTAAAAATATAAATAAGTATGCTATTTTTTAAATTGGTTATTATTAATATTGTTAATAATACATATAAATACGTTTTTAATTGAAAAAAAAATGTTAAAGACAATTTTTAAGGGTGAAGGTGGAAGGGATGGTGATGTTTTAAGCATTGAAATCATGAATGTGTACTTGTATATTTTCACTTTGTATATGGTCATTTCACATTTGTTATTATTGTTTTCAATTCAGAATATTAACACTTAACAATTTAGAAGAAGTTGTCTATTTTTAAAATTGTTTATAAATAGTAATTTTGCGTCATGGACTATCAATATTATCACTAAGTTCTCGGTTTTTTGCTTATCATTCTCAACTTGTAAATGGACATTTCTTACATATATTTTTTTGAATCAAGTTTGGGTCTAGAACTGGGATCAGATCAAGATTATGATTGTATCTGCTACCACATGTATTAGTATGTGAGCGTGTGTTATATGTATGTCTTGTGTGTAAGTATTTGAATTACCAACATGTGTGTTGCCCTTTTTCATTACTTTACTCATGTGGTTTTTTGGAAACATAGCAGATGTAGTGTGATAAAGCAAAATATGTTCTACTATTTTTTATTGGGAAAAATACCAGGTATAGACATTATTTGAGGTTGAATTCCAAAATATATACACAAAAAATTAAATTTCCGGGTATAGACATGGATTCCGCGGAGGTAGCTCTGCGGAATGGCAAAATCGTAAATAAATGAGGGAATAAAAAAGACTCAAGATCCATTCCGCGGAGCTACAGTGGATTCTGCGGAGCTCCGAAGAATGGTTCTTCAGATTTTTTTTTTTTTTTTTCAAATCGATTCTTCGGGGTTTATATTCATTCCCCAACTAATTATTTTTCAAGAAAACATTATGATAGTATGAATTTTTCTTGACAATGTTTGGAATGAATGTGAGGTGGAAAAAAAATTGGTCTTTTAATTGGAGATCTTTACATAAAAAAATCATTGGAGGAGAATTTTTTTTTTCTTTCTGAAGATCCATTCCTCGGAGCTCCGCGGAATCCATGTCTATACCCGGAAATTCAATTTTTTTGTGTCTATATTTTGGAATTCAACCCCAAATAATGTCTATACCCGGTATTTTCCCTTTTTTATTACACAAGATATTGTAATTAATACTTTTGAATTTGATATTGGATACCTATGTAGTTGTTTGTAGTGGATCTGTTGTATTTGGAAAGAAATCTTTCTACATTAAACATTTTTATATACAAAGTGAGAAATCTTTCTACCTTAAACCATTTATAAACAATTTTACAAATAAGCAACTTCTTTTAAATTGTTAAGTGTTAATATTCTGAATTGAAAACAATAATAACAAATATGAAATGACCATATACAAAGTAAGAATATATACAAACAGACATTCATTATTTCAATGTTAAAAGCATCACCATCCATTCCACATTCACTCTTAAACAATGTTATTAATATTTTTTTCCATTTAAGCGTGTTTATATGTATTTTAATAATAACAAATTCAAAAAATAGTATATTTATTTATAATAATAATAATAATAATTATAGTAATAATAAGGTTTTTGTTTGCAGAAAAATCCTAATAATTTTGTTTGTAGAAAACTCATAATATTTTGGATAAGTTTACGAAATAGTTCCAAACTAATTTGATATCGGTTCCAACCTGTCAAAAAGAATCCAAATGCAAATTTTTGCCGGTTTTTAGGACCTTTCCGTAAAAATTATATATATTTTTTAGGACTAAAACGTAAACTAAACTAAATTTTTAGGATTTATCGGAGATTTCCATAAAAAAAGAAAAAAAATATATCACCCATGTAGTGTCGTTCTTTTTAACCCAATACTAAAACTACACAAATGCAAACCACCACAATGAGCCAAAACTATAAACTATATAATAAATAGCATCCAACTGATAACAATTATCGATAATAGATTTTCTTCAATGAAATTGACCAAAGGTAATTCTAAACGCAACACATATTCCAACAAAAATAACACAAAACAAAATACAATCAACTAAAAAATGATCATTCACATAGTCCAGAATGCGTGCAGAGAACTCAAAGCCACAATCCACAACCGAAAATGAACGTTCATAATCCATTCTATAAATTTTTTCTCTATTCTTTTTTACTTTTTTTTTAACTTGAATACTCTTTTCTTTTTGGGTTTTTTTTGAAGGAGAGGAACACAGTCTATACACATCATAAAATAAACGATGGATCACACTAACATCCTATCACCAACATAACAAAATAAAAACTTCAATCGATTTCGCCTTCCTCCACATCAGCAGCAGCATTGATCCCACCTGGCATGACAGGTGGCTGGAGGTCCAGGTCAGCATCATCCTCTTCTTGTTCATCTCTTTTCATGTACAACCCTAGTTGTTCTAACGGATTGCTTGCCCCAAATTTGAAACTGCCTAATGCGTCTAGGGATCCGTGATCGGGACTCATCTCGTCTGCTGACATCATCGGTAGTTCAGGATTCACCGTGCTTAGCATTTCAAGATCCTCAATAAATCGCGATGTTTCATCAATTTCAACTGTTTTCTCCATCTACATTCACACAAAAACAACAAATTTTATCACCAAAAAAATAATTAATCAAATTACTATTATTATCGGATACATAAATACATTGTACTATATATTAATTAGAATTAGAAAGTCCTTATGAGAGTACATATTTCCACTCCATTTTACGAGTTTTGTACAATTGTTTTGGATTTTGACAGATTTAGTCCCTGTAATTTTGTAATTTATAGAAAAGGTCACTGAATTTTTTGGTATGTTTAAGATTTTTGTATGTTGGCAGGTTTAGCCCCTGTGTACAAAATAATTTACAAAAATTGTCCCTGTAATTTACATTCAGGAGTTTTGCCAAAAAGGTTTTTAGTTTTGGAGTTTTGCCACAATTGTTTTGGATTTTGACAGATTTACTCCCTGTAATTCACATTTAGGAGTTTTGCCAAAAAAGTTTTTAGTTTTGGAGTTTTGCCACAATTGTTTTGGATTTTGACAGCTTTAGTCCCTGTAATTTTGTAATTTATAGAACAGGTCACTGTGAATTTTTTATTTAAAAACAGTCCATACGTTTAAGATTTTTACAAAAATTATCCCCTGTAATTTTGTAATAACCTCTGTTTAGCTCCCATGTACAAAATAATTTACAAAAATTATCCGTAATTTACAGAAAAGGTCCTTGTGTATTTTTCTTTTATAGAAATGGTCCATTTGTTTTAGATTTTTGTACAGTGGCAGGTTTGGCCCCGTGTACAAAATAATTTACAAAAATTGTCCCTGTAATTTACAGAAAGAGTCCATGTGTATTTTTTTTTCAGAAACAATCCGTTTGCTTAAAAAAATTACAAAAAAGTCCCCAACTAACTGAAAATTTGCAGATTACGCCCCCTGCAATATATTGCCATGTTTCGTCCCTAAACTTTTTTGGTTTAACGCTTTCGCCACATGACTTTTGTATATTTGCAGGTTTGCTCCTTACACTTTTGGCGTTACGCAAGTCTAGTCCCCCCTTGGGGGTAGTAACTTACTAGTTAAAATTACTTTAAAAGACCCCAAAGAGAACTTTTTAAAGATATACTTATAATTCATGTAAATGTAAAATATTTACATTCATACCTTCAATAAAGCCTGTCGAGCTGCTTCTCTTTCAAGATCCCTTTTCCTTTTTGCTTCCAAAGCAGCTTCAGCTTCAGCTCGCTTTCGAGCATTTTCAGCTGCTTCTGCTGCGGCTTGTAATCGCGCTTTTTCTATTTTTTTTTAATAAAATAGAATTTGTAATTTAATAATCTTGTTTGCTAAAATCAAGTTATATAAACTTTGAAAAGAAGTTGAACTAATCTCCAACCTTTTCTTTTTTGATTTTCTAATTCTTCTTTCTCCCTTCTGAGTTTCTCAGGGTCCCCTTTTTCAACCTGAATCAATGTCTTTTCTCTCGCCTTGAAAATTGTATCAGCAAATCGGTTTTTTAATACTGCAGCTCTGTATGATTTCCCAGGTGACACCTGTCTTGAATTTGGAGCACTGTCACCTAATTTATAAAAAAAAATACAAATTATTAGAAATTATTATATATATCCAATTGCAATTCACAAATGAATAGTATATTTTTATGTTCCAGACTTTGGCCATAATAGTTTTTTTGTATATTGACAAGTTTGGTCCCTGTATAGAAAATAAATTACAAAAACTGTCCCTGTAACTTACAGAAAAAGGTACAAAAATTACAGACTTATGTATGTTGACAGGTTTGGTCCCTGTGTAGAAAATAAATTACAATAGCTGTTGTTGTAATTTACAGAAAAGATCCGGGTAAAGATTCTTTTACATAAATGGTCCATGTGTTATAAAAATTAACAAAATGGACCCTGCGTAATAGAAAAAATATAGATTACACCCCCACTAAAGCAAGGATAATCAGAAATTAATTTTGTTTAAATATGATGCTATATTCTCAATACTCACCATCATCTTTTTGGCTATCTGATTCAACAGAGGTTGGCTTTTGTTGAGACATGTGATCAACTTGGTCCAACCCACTAACTGACTCTGAAAATATAAAATATATATATATATAATTTTAGATTTTAGAACCCTTAAAGAAGAAAGAAAATTGTTATTAAATATTTGAATCTTGAAATCTTGAAATATGGGAAGACTTACGATTATCAATTAGGTCACTTGTACCTGCCTTTTCCTCTAAATCTGTTGCAGCAAGATTTTTCTGTTTATTGAATATAAAATAAATAAGTTATTATTATTATTATTATAAACATAAAAAGAAAAAGAGTTACATTTTACACACCACATAAAGAACCAAAAGAATTGATTTATGAGGAAGATAGATAGATAGATAGATACCTGAGACACCTCTAATGGGTTGGTGGCTTTAAGGTCATTTTGCCCATTTCCACTAGTATCTGTAGAAACCATATAAAACTGAATATTTCACATAGAAATAATTAACAAAAAAGACAAAGTATTGTTTTATCAACTTTTGAATCAAATATTTAACATCATCATACATCAGATAAGGAGTTTTACATGCAACTAAAAACACTGATTACATAATATGGTTTAGTTGATATATATATATATTACTTAAAATCATAATATTAAAAGAGTACCCAAATTACCACTTGAGGTTCTTGATGTTGTCCTTATGTCACTTTTCTTGTTTGTTCCTTTTTCCTTTTCATCTGGAGTGTAGCTTGAGACAGGTGGCTCATTTCCACCAATATCTATATCCTCTTCCACAGGATCATTCCCTGTAACATGTGACATGTCATGTAAATCTAAGTTGAACAGTTGACTAACATTGACCAAACGCCCATGAATGTGAGAAAGAGAAAACGGTTATTAACCTCTATATAGTTGCATAGTTGAGTTGCTAATCCCTGATTCATGTAGCAGCTGAAACCAATGAAGAATCATTGTCAGACTTACATCCTGTTATAGATTAGGAAGATGAAATATATTTAAAATAGTACCTCAATGACACAAGGCTCTGCTTTTCCTTGATTTTGTTGCTCATGTATATGGTTGTCTAACATCTTGCGTAATTTGAACAATATATCATTATTAAGATCATCAATATCAATTTCTATTTCATCTTCTCCTGCTTCATTCCCACTTGAGCTGTGTTCTTTTAAAAAGTCAATGATATTATTTGGTAAACCTTCAAGATGAGCTTCCAACTCCCTGCTTAGATTAAGCTTTTCTTCACTTGTCATCACCAACTTAGCTTCTGGAAACGGTTCTTGTTGTATTGAGGTGATCTTTCTTTTCTTTGATGGAGGAATTGGCTTAACCAAATCGATCTCTTCAAATTGTTGTTGAGAATTTTGAGGTAGTTTCTTTTCGATAGGCTTCCATCTTAGCTGGAAAAACTTATGAAGAACATCTGCCATGACATGGACATCATTTCCAGGGGGGTTGTATGTCATGGCATTGGAAAAGGTGAGTCGGATATCAGCAACAAATTCAAGTGGACCTGTGTATTTCCCTGAAGAAAGTTTTTCTTTTATTGTCCCTAAATCCATGGGATTCTTGATGACATTGAAGTAATCTGGTATTTTCAATGCAACAACATCAACAGGTTTGTTAAACACCCAACCATGTTGATGGGACATCAACTTCTTCAATAAGTTCTCACATTGTTTCTTCAGTAATGGAGTAAAAGTCCCTGTGTCATTAACGGATGAAAACCTTCCCATAAGACCTCGATTAAGGGCCTTTGACTTTTGATTATGGTCGATCTTTCTCCCAGAGCCAGTTGATTTCTTCAAGTTTGAGCTAAGAATATCATTAGAAGATGATATTGTGGCAACACGAGGCTTATCAACATCCACTCTCTTCTGAAATGTCCTAAGTCTGTCAAGTTCAGATTTCAATTGGAGTAATAATTTCTTTTTTTCTATGGGTGAGAGCTTTGACAAAGGAACAACATGTACAGGAACACCAAAACCATCGGATAATGCAGAGCTTAGCTTGATCCATTTTTTCCTATGGTTGATCGAGTCCTCATAACCAGATGCATCCATATCATCACGTCCAGAGCAACCAGATCCTTCGGATTCATAATTGGGGGGAAACCCACCAGAATAGGCATCAGGGAACATATCCTTCTTCGCCATATTGCTATCAACACTTCACACCCAACCAGAATGATGTATATATCAAACCCTAGCCCAAAGATTTCACGCACGTCCCTGAATATTCATGACAAGCCAATTTAACTCACGGATCCATTATCAAATCCCTCATTCCTCTCTCATATTCCTCTTTAACAAAGAAAAGATCGCACACGCTCTCTAAACGCGGTATATACTTAAATACGTACTCTCTGAAATTAGGGTTTCCATGTTCATATTTCGATCCATAAAAGATGTACAAATTCAATACTTGTAACCGATTACCATGTATTACAGAATTTTCAAATCGAACGTTTGGGTTAACAATTTCTCCAACCTAAACCTAAAATTGAAACGTTTTGTTTTGAAAAATTAAACGAACGAGGGGAGAAAAATCGGAATCCAAAGGAGAAAACCTAATCTTACCGCAAAAATCCACTTTGGGTCGAAAAAGAGCCAATTCTCCTCCGCAAAGACGAGCTTCAATTCGCACAGAAGCTTAATTCGCGTAATTCAAACTCATAACATCAAATCACCAACAATAACTCACCGACAACGAAGATAACCCTAGAAACGGAAGATCTCTACTGAATTTGAAGCCGACAAAGCTCAAAGAATGTTGTGCTCGAAACCCTAGAAAACAAAACGACGGGGGCGCAGGTACTTCCCAAGGGCTCCGAACGAGAAGAGTTATATGATCGTACGACAGAAAATGTAAGCTTTAGGGGGATGAAGAGAGTGACGCCTCTTTATCTTTTTCGTGTCCATAAGTGGGAGCCTCGTCGACTCCTGATAAATCGTAGCCGTTGATTCACGCCGTCTTCGGAATCGACGGTGTGAACAGCGTTTCAGATCTAGTGATAGACCATGTGATGCAGATCACGTGCAATAAAGGCGGTGACTTGGTCCTCAAACTATGACTTCATTCCATCTTTAGTCCCTTAACTCTAAACATTTACGTTTAACGCTATTTTATTAATGACAAAACTGTAAAACTTGTCCTTTTGGTATGTTTTTTTTCATGGGTTTTGGTCTAATCCTCAATTTTTTTGGATTCGTGATCCTTTTAACTTTGAACCGGACCGGACCGGAAAAAAATCGGGACCGGACCGGACCGGATATTCATATTAGTGGGCCGGTTTTTGGGTTTTGTTTTTACCACTATTCGGATTTCGGGTTTGGACCGGACCGTACCCGGAATACGGGATTTAATTCGAACCGGACCGAAAAACATTTTCACCTTAATTCCTTTTATAGATATTTTAAAATATATAAATAATGATATTGACTTAGGGGGTGTTTGGCTTAGCTTTTCACAGCCAAAAGTCCTTTTTTGGAAAAGAAAAAAAGCAAAAGATGTTTAGCAAAACTATTTTTAAAAGTTACTTTTGAAGTTTTGATATAAGGAAAATGAACTTTTTGGAAAAGTCAGGAAAAACCTGACTTTTTGTAACTTTTCCAAAAAAGGACTTTTGGGCTGTGAAAAGCTAAACCAAACACCCCCTTATTAGTTAATGTTACGAAGCTTTTATTGAATTATAAATTAATGCTACAAAAAAGAATGTATCTAATGTGATTGTTCACTAAAATTGAGTACCACGTGTCTCATCAAATTGGATATAATAAGATAATAAAGAAAGTCAGTAACATTCTTAATGTATCTATCGTAATATTATTACTTATAAGATTTTTTTTTCTAAATACTGTGAACATTAAATTACTATTAGTTTTTTTAGGAACTGTGAGGCTTGTCCCTACGAGCGACAACTAAAAAGAAAACATTGTGCAACTCTTCCATAGTTTACGGCAGTGACAACTTTTTTTTTTTGGGTCCGTCATCTAGTCTCCAACTCTCTATTGCATTCCATTGTTACAATAAAAAAAAAACAAAAAAAAAAAACTATGAATCTTCTACTCTCTAATAGAGAACATGTTTCCCTCTCCTCTACAATGGTGAATGGAAGTAAGTTCAAATAGGATCTGACCGAAACCTTAAACAACACTGTCAAAGTATAATTCGGTTCAAAACCCGAAATCCGGTTTAGTACCCGGAACCGGACCGAACTGAATCCGGACCCGATATACACAAAAACAGTTCGGTTTTCGAGTAAGGTAATTAACGATTTTCGGTCTTCGGGTTTTTGGTCTTCGGGTCGGTTCAGTCTGGGTCAGGCTCGTTGCTCATCCCTACTTTTAACCATGTTTGTATGTAATTTTGGTCCCTCCCAAAATTAAAATGACTAACTTTCCCTTATACAATTTATTTTTTTAATTTTTTATTACACAATAAAAAAAACTAAAATAAAATACACCCTAACCCTCACTCTTCCTCATACTCGGATACCAACTTCTCTCTCTCTCTCTCTCTCTCTCTCTCTATATATATATATATATATATATATATATATATATATATATATATATATATATATATATCTTCTCTCCAACTCCCTTCACTCTCACCGGAAAAACAAGAAACAACCATCGTGGTTGTCGAGCCAACAAAATAAATAACCCTAAATCGTGTACACTAAAATAGTGTATAGTGGTAAAGGCGTCGAATCCACGGAGATTGGTTCGATTTTATAACTCTATGAAAAATCTATTTGTAAAAATACTTGTAATTGATAATAAAAGTAAAAATTGGGGTTTTGGTCTTTTGAAATACTTGAAATAAACTATAATTAAACTAAGATTTAAATAGACAATTTCAACAAAAACAACGGTTTAATGTAAAATCAATAAGAGAAAGATAGTTGACTTAAGGTTTCCTCACTTGAACATTTGATGAACATATCATTAGAATCCAATGGTGCAATACTTGTTTTAAATCTTTAATTTGGCTATAGTAATCCAAGAAGCTTGAGATAACCTAGACTTTTCTTAGTTGTTAAAATAGTTAGAAAAGCTCATAACAATTTCCTTAGTCAAAGTCACAATTTTCATTAAGCATGTAATTAGTGAAAGTTAACTAGCATTAAGAACCAAAAAGTCACCAAATCCAAGAGGAGTCAAATGCTTTCACTTCCATGTTGGAGAAAATGTTTTTATGATTGGGTGAAGTAAAACCAACACAATAAACACTTGTTGCTTGCTAATTTGAGGATCCTTTATTTAATCAATAAATTAGCCAACTAATCACTACAAATACATTTAAACTTATGAATAAAAACATACAAGTAGTAATAAGATGTTAAAACACAAAACATTCTCATAAATATTCAAGAACAAGTTCATGGTGTCTTCAACATTCAACAAACATTCAAATGACTTCACCAAAGTCAACCAAGTTCAGTTTAGCCTAGCATGGCTAAACTCAAGAAAACAAAGTAAGGATAGATTGTACCAAACATTTAGCAAGAATCAAGAGCAAAAAGATGAAGTTCTTGAGATGTTCTTGGTCTTAAAAATGTTCCACAATCTCTAGAGAAATGATGAATTTTCAGATGTGCAAGAGTGTGCAAAAGATGCACACCAACCTTCATAAAATAGCCTTCCAAATGAAGTTATGAAATTACCCCTGCAGTGTCGTGCGCGGCCGCGCAACCTTGCGCTGGTGGGTCTGATTGTGGGCTTCTTTGAGTATTGGGCCTCCACAGCTTAGTCCATTGGCCTAGTTCGAGTCTGATCAGCTTCTAGCCCATTTTTCTTCAAGTTCTCTTCATCTTAACCCCAATTTGGCCTCTCCAAATTATTCATAGCTCACGTAATTGCTCGATCAATAATCTATGCACGCTCGAATATTCCTCCGTTTCTTGCAAATTTAAAGTTCCTTTCCTCCAAGCCTTCAAATAATCAACAAGCCCAATCCATGCATCAACTCCACTAGCTATCAAGCCTAAAATTATTGTCGTCCTCCAAATCCAATCGCTTCCCAAATATTCCGCTCCGCTAGTCTCCTTAAAATCTGCAATTATGCTCACGAAACTAGAATGTATCTGAAATGGTCATAAAATAACAAAAAGGAAAATATGCATGGAAATTAACTAAATTCTAAATGAAATATAGTAAAATAGACTATAAAAATAAGTAAATAAAATAAAAATATCAAATCACCACAAGCTTAAACCTTACTTGTCCTCAAGTAAGACAATACTAAAATGAACCTGGGATGAACTATCCTAAGAAAAATAAAAAGAATGGATAGAACCATAGAACCTAATCACTGTTAGTCAACATGGTCAAAATTTATCTTTCTATTATCCCAAGAATTTTTCATCCGATGACAATGGAACCATAAACCATAGCCAAAACAACTCCTCTGGGTGAGTAAGGAGGGATGGTCAGTCGCAGCCCCAATGGAACATGCATATAATAAAGAACATCTGTAGTAGGGAGAAAACACATGGATGGGCTCGTGTGGAGTTCTTCTTTTAAGTATACACTCTTATCACAAAAGTTGCATGATCTCACGTTTATCGGCTACTCTCATGTGTGATTGGGTTTCATCACTCTGGCACGGTTGTAGGAATCAGTTCACTTACTGTTGGCCCGAACCTCCCGTAGTATCCGACTCGACAGACTCCCTAACATCACCAATTTGCGAAAAAAACAACTCGATCTATATACAATAAAACATGTCTATATAAATGAATATCAAACGTCAGGCGACCAAAATGTAAGAAAATTTTGTTTAATAATTGAACCGGTCACCCATCTAAGATAATCGCAGCCTGGAATTTGCTTGCTTGAGCTTCTCGTTTTTTTTAGAACAAGAAGATACTTGAAGGTAATGCACTAACATATCAAATTTTTTATCAAGAAAATTTTTTGACTCGAAATTTGGTTCCCAAAAGTATGTAAGTGGAACCGAAATATAATAATAATCTGAATGGTCTAAATTGTGAAAACAACCATGTGTAGAGCATAGAGATGTAGGCTCCTTTTCAAACTTTGTGATTTTCCAAATATAATGAAAATGCCCAAATGTGGGCTAAAAGACTCTCTAAAATCCTAAGGAAATCGCAAAAAAATATGGTGATGTAAAGAGACCGGATATGGATTATACTCGGGGACAAGCACCCATGATTTATCCTAACGATTCAAACATGATCAAGTGTGATCCTCTCAGCGGTATGGACCACATGCTAAAAACATTCATTGTTATAGTATATCCTATAGTTGTTAGTATTGTATTTATAATTATTCATGAAAACTACTTGGCCATGATCACTTACCCCTTTAAGCTCCAGCAGTTGATCCCAAGTATGAAGTCCCAAACTGCGACCTAATGGTCCCGGTTCGATGTGTGAGATAACAATAAGATCCTGGACCAATAATGATACAATAACTATGAACCTGTTCCATGGAATCCAAGGGGGGTGAGAATGAACAGACAACAAAAATGCATGCATGCTAATGTCCTAAGCTAGATTTTATGCAAAAATAGATTGGAAAAGAAGAAAATAAAATATTTTTGGAATTTTATAAAATAAATAAATAAATAAATGCAAATTAGCCTAAAACTAATATGTTATGCAACCTAACTAAAAAAAATGCATGAAAAAGTAAAAAGGGAATACCTCACCCAAGCTTAAGAACAAGCATTGTCCTCAATGCTTAAGGTAAGGGCAAAAATGACCTAAATCAGAGAGTCGGGCGGCGGAAAATGTTTGTGGCGGTAGTGGTAGTCCCACATATCCTGGACCTGACGAGAAGTGGATGGGAAGGACTGCTACAGTCTACTAACGTGAGTCGCCACATCCTGAATGGCTCGGGTGTTCTCTTGTGTTTGAGTGTCGATGCGCTGAAACGGTGGAGAACATTGT